ACAGATGGGCCACTGGGCCCCCACTTGGCTGATGCTCAAGTCCGCCAGACTCTCCGTACTGCCGAAGGCCACAGGTGGGCGCACTGAACCAGCGTGCAGCACTCCCTCCACTGCTATCCTATGACCTCAGCCCGGATGAACACTTCGCTCAAGCTTTGAAACGAGGCCGAGATCTGCTACCTACAGAGCTACCAGCGGTGCTGGATTTGGATCTAGCCTTTGCCGCCGACTGCCATACTCGTTACCGAGGCCATCTACGAGATCTTCGCCGTACAGCAGTGGGGGCACTGCGGGAGCTCCATCGGCGTTGGTGTGCAGTGGGGCGACATCTGCGGCAATTCCAACCCATCGCCTTGCAGGCTACCACAGCCACTCGTGACCTCGGTTTTGTAGCGCTATTGATTCTGCTGACCTCGTGGCCTGATGTCACATATCCATTCGGGTTGATTGACGGCCTCCCAGCGGTGGGCTATGCGCCATGCTACGGAGTCTTTCCGTCTCAACCTGCTGACCGCATCACTCTTGCGGATGTCTTGTCGGGCTGCGACGAGCATAATTACCAGATCTTGTCTACCCTCAAGCCGGGCAAAGATGATCAGTTTCTTCTTGAGCAATCCACGAAGGACGCCGCCCGGGGGTTTTGTACACCTCCATTGACGCTTTCACAGTTGCGTCAGCAGTTGCATGGGCAGCCGTATCGTCTGATTCCACGCTGTGTGATTACCCAATCTTCGGGTAAGCAGCGCATCATCGACAATGCCGATGCAGGGGGGCAGACCCTGCGGTCATCCGACGCCAACAAGCTGGTGCTCTGCTCGCCCCTCAGGCCGGCTCAACACATCAGCCAAGTCCTACGTCACATGAGCCCACCAGAGCTAGCCCAGGCTGCAGCCACTGACACCTGGGAATCAGGTGGGGAAGATTGGCCGGATGCCTATCGGCACAGTCCCATGGGGGTCACCGAAACGCGAGGATGCGTTGTCACCTTCTGGCATCACGAATGGGCTGCCCCAGCTTTCCAGGTCTATGCTGGTCTTCTTTTTGGTCTTCCTCTTGCCGTGACATCGTTCAACCGATACAGTCGACTTGTGGAAGCCCTCGGACGTCGTTTGTGCTACGTTCTGGTCTCGCTCTACTTCGACGATGCTTCAATCCAAGACTGGTCTTCGAGCCGGGGATCGGCTCAATGGGCTTTCGGTGTCTTGAACCAGCTCCTGGGCACCCCCTTGCGGAAGAGAAGCGTCAGGCTATGAATCATAAAGGATTATTTCTAGGCCTAGACCACGATCTTTCAGCCGCCCTTTCAGGAGGCTACGTCTCTTTTGGGCGAGGGAACGCCTGGAATCCAAGTTGAAGGCCATCATACATGAATGTCGTGAGACGCACACTCTCAAACCTGGTGTTGCTGCCAAGCTGTACGGATTAGCCAATTTCTTCGAACAGGGTGTCTACGGACGAATTGGATGTGGGGGCCTCCATGCCATTAAGGAGCGCCAACTCGTCCGAGGCGACCAACTGACCCCTGCAATTGAGCAATGCTTCCAAATTCTCGAGGCTGTGATCTCCATTCATCCAGAGCGTGAACTTGATGTCTGGCCACGACGCCATGAGCGCTTTGTCGCAGCGTCCGACGCTGCCTTGGAGACCCCAGGTGAAGGCGCGGGTGGTTTTCTCCTTGTCTTCTTCCACGAGGCCGTGGAGATCCGGCTTGGGTTTGTGTCTCACCTCCCCTCATCCATCTATGACCTTTGGACGCCAGGGGATGCCAAAATAGCACAGCTAGAGTTATTGCAAGTTCTCATTGCGTTGACTACCACACCTGAGCGATTCCGTAATCGCCGCGGCACATGGTACATTGACAACACTGCCGCTTTGATGGCGCTCATCAAAGGCAGATCAGATAGTCCTGACCTCGAACATATGAGTCACATGATCCACATTCTTTTGTTCTCACTTCGATGCTGGATTTACTTTGAGTGGATCCCCTCCAAGAGTAATTGGAGTGACGCGATTTCCCGTGAAGGACACGCGGATAGATGGCACCACGACCAGGGTTTCACTAGTCGAGTGGCCACCTTTTTCGAACCACTCTGGTATTTTCCTTTTTCCGTCACTCTGCGAGTCGGTCTCTTTCTTTAAAGTGCGTTGGGAGAAATGCATTGGGTAGATACATCGCTATGGATACGTCTTGGTGGACGGGTCTCCA